CCCCCCCCCCACCCCCCCAGGCAAGACCGGGTCAGCCCCTCGGAAAATTTGCCGTCCATGTCTCCGAAAGAGACATGGGAAGAAAAATGACAGCGTTTAACGCCCTAGCGAGTCAGTCAGTCGATCACACATCCAACAACCTCACTCGCGACCAACTGGAACACCCATTTCCTTCCCGGCCCGTGTGTCTGTCTGCTGTCTGTGCTCGGTCTGGTTTGGCCCGTCCAGCCAGCATTGGAAAACAAGGGGCACATGTGCGATTCGAAAACGCCCTGACGGACCAAAACCAGGCCGGGAACGGCACACGACAGCAGACAGCACAGCGCACCCTGCCAGGTAGGTACATTCACACAACAACACAACACTCACTCACTCAGTCAGCCGGTCAGGCAGAAGAGCTTCATATGTACATACATAGTGGAGGACGGATCGCACCGCACCCCCGCGTGTGCATGAGGCTGGAGACGAAAAAGGTTAGAGATGGATGCACGGATCAATGGATGGATGGATGGATGGATGGCTACCTGGCTGTCCAGCATGATCTGTCTTCTCTGTTCTGTGCTCAGCCAGGCAGGCACGTGCCTCATGTCTGTCTGTCTGTCTGCCCTCCGGCGCCATTGCTTGCCTATGTACAAGCGCCTCTCGCTCGAGTGGATAGGTACGAAAACACCACACCCATTCATGCATGCAACACCTCACTCATACATATCTCATTCGTGAGAGAAAAATACGACCCACAGCAAATGCATGTGGACGCAGCGGCCCTCTCAGCATCCAAGAGAGACATATCATACCCATGTGCGTGCGCGCACCGCTTTCACCCAGCCAGCTAGCTGCACACACACGTATAGAAACAACCATCGATCCCCCCGTCCACCGACCTCCCCCTCCCTGCTGGCTCAACCCAACCGACACCCACCCACCCCGTCGGCAAGGAAGCCCGCTAGGGAGGCCCTCATCTCATTGTGAGGCGACTAAGAAAAGACGTCGGCCAAACCTTAACCTTCAAGCAGCTGTCAGGACCTGACTGGTTCTGCCGCTGCTGGTCACTGTTGCTGCTTCCCCGGCCCCTCTTGTGTCCTCTGTCGAACCCGGCGCTGCACATGGCCCCCAGACGGATGCGAGAGAAGAACTGCACACGGCTGAGGGACCTGAGAGTGAAGGATGACCGCATCGCGACCCCCGTGACGTCCCCCTGCCGGCCCTCCTCGCTGCTGCCCCCCGCTGTGGTGGCCTCTGTGGGCCTTTCCTCGTATATGGTCGGCGGATGCCTCTTGTCTGCCGATGTCACGTGGGATGGGTAGTGGTGTGGGCCAGCCCCTCTGGTAGAGGTGCAGTGCGCATCGAGGCTGCGGCTCCGCGGGCGGGGCCGGTGGTCGGGACCGTCCGGGAGACTGAGGGATGGCGGGAGGGAAGCGGCCTCATTGATGGACTCCTGGGGCGATTGCGGCGGGGGAGGCGGCAGCTGGTGCTGGTGCTCGGGTGACGACTCACAGCAGGGGCCCTCAGGTGGGGAAGGAGGGGTCACCTTGAGATCTGGTGGGGGTGTGTCCGGCAGGGCATATGTCGCGTGGTCGGGGTGAAGAGACTGAAGGGCCGTCTGCAGTGCCCGTAGATGGTCTGCCTCACTCGTCTCGTCACTATGGGCCAGCAGTCTCTCAAACAGGTACGTCAGCCGGCACCTGCAGGCAGGGCGAGGCGACGGACAACACACAGGGCTTAATGGACGGATGAATACATGGCTGTTTGTCTTCTTCCTTTGTCTGTCTGTCCTGACTGTCAGTCGGATGGTACACTGACCGGAATGAGTTGCGGATCTTGCCATTTGGTAGAGAGGTCACTCGCGCCGCTATGATGGCAAAACCTGCGTGTGTGAGGCGAGATCACATAAGATGATCAGTGGTGTGTGCGGTGTGGGCCGCTGGGTCGCTGGGTAACTGACTGACCGTGGGTGAAGAATGTTTGTACAATCTCGTGCAGCAGCCCGGGAGCGTCGGTGCCCTCTACTCGCACCTCATACACTCGTGAACCTGAACACAACCCATGGATGGCATCAGCGCCATCGTGTCGGTGGTCCCTCCCTCCCTCCCTCCCTGCCTGTCTGGCTGGCTGGCTGTCTGGCTGCCTGGCCCGCTGACCTGGTGTGAGCAGCGACGATTGGTACATGTTGACCTGCTGCCTCTCCCACGCCTGCATGCTCGACCCGCTCGTGAATGCCCGCTCGTGCAGAGCCCTCTCCAACTTGGCCAGCCTCTCGCCATCCGACAGTCCATCGCCCAACCCTGCTGTCGAGTCGAGGTTTATCAACTCGAAAGTGTCCTTGATGGTCTTGACGCCCGTCTCGCTGACACTGCTCACCACCCTGGCCTTCTTGACCGAATAACCCCACTCTGACCGATGGTTCAAAACAGACAAGACAGGAGGGACACACGTAAAAGATCCTCCCGTCGACCTCCCTGCTGTCCTCTGCTGACCTCTCAAGACCCGCGATATGTCGAGCAGCAGTCCGATGCGCTCGGTGCCCGTGACGGTCACGACTGGCGCAGATGGCGCGCCTCGCACCTCGATCTTCTCCTGGGTTGCCTTTCTGTTGATGGCGATGCTGTCGTAGAGGTGGTGCTGAAGGGGGAGGAATGTGGGTGGCTGCGGCAGGAGGTGATTGCGCCAGTGTGGAGGAGGCACGGTTGTGGAGGGCCACGCAGCGTACTGCTGCACCAAACCGGCGTGCGTGCGCATACCTGGCACCCTCCAGGCCCCTGGGCGGGCCCTCGGCTGATTTGCGGATCTTTTGCGAGCTTGACCACTGTGCGCCAGATCGCTTTCTCGAAAAAAAAGAGGCAGATCTGCTTGGGGAGTGCAGTAACGAATAGCTTTCACTGCATGCTGCTTACCGAATGAAGGCAGACCGATTGGGGGAACTTCCATGTAAGCTCCAAGAAAGGCATGACGCCAGTCTCTGTGGATGAGTGAATGTGTGTTTGCCCCTCCGCATCAGGCATTGATTGAGGCACCTTCTGTTGTGTTGCCGTCTTGACGAGCTCAATGCATCCATCGTCTGTCAAAGATCTCTCTACGCCCTTGCTGCCGGGAGGTGCAGGCGACGGCCCGCCACAGCGCGATGGTGCCAGTCGGCGCAGCACCACGGAGTCATCCATACCGGCCGGCTATGTGTCCGTCCCGACGGCTACCCGGCACCAGCTGCCCGCACCGGCTGTGAGTGTGCCCGTCGCGTTGACCACCACACCGGAGACCCACAGGGAGGAGGAGGATGGGCTGACAGAAGAGCACATACATGACCTCACCGTCCCACGCAACAACTCAGGCAGTGGATGCTGCGGGTGTCTCCAGTCATGGCGCGTCGCTGACCGCTGGCGCACGACAGTCGACCTCTTGGGGTGCAGCGCCCTCCTGCTGATGCTCACATTCGCCATCGGTGTGGTAGTCATGGTGCCGCACACACACACGCCGGCTGGGGCGACCGAGGGTGATGCCGCAGCAGGGAGTGAGGGTGGTGCGTACGATGCAGCCATGAGGGACTGGCTGGGAGAGACCGGCGCATGGGTGGTGCGGGCGGCTGTGCTGGTCCTGGCCTTCTTTCTGGGCGCCATCTATGGCAAGAAACTGCTCTACAAGTACGGGGGGATGGATGGATGGATGGATGGATGGATGGAGGCAATTCGGACATGACGTGCTCTCAGCTGGGTACCATGGTTGGTTGGTCTGCACGTATCTGTCTGTGTGTGTGTCTGTCAGGACTCGCTGTTACATGTTCTTGGAGGAGCCCGATCGGTACTTCAGCGCACCGCCAGCACACCTGCCCAGGTCAGGCAGGCATCATCCAATACCGCACTCACTCAGTCACTCTTTCACTCCCTCACAAACGTACCTACCTTCCTTCCAACACACACGGGGTCGTGTGGTCCGTGTGGTGTTATTGTTCACAGACATCCCCTGGGAGCGTTTGTGTCCCGGCTTCAGGATGGGTCACGACGACACGACAGGGCCGTGGACTTTGCCCTATCGTGCTGCATGGGGTGGCTGGCACTCGGCATCGCCTGCATCGTGGTGCAGTCCTTCATGACCGTACGCACAGGCTCCCCACAGCCAGCCCCAGTGCATGTCAGCAGCCCCAGAGCAGCAGGCCAGCAGCAGCCTTCCCCGTACCCGGCGGCTGATCTGGCCAAGCTGATGGCTGTCGCGGCCCCCTCGGCGCTGGATGACGGTGAAGGCTCTGCGGTGCCCAACAAGATGGCCCCTCCGGTGTTCGGGACAGTGGATGGGTTCTTCGTGAGTGCGTTTGTGGCTTGGGTTGGTGTGGGAGTGGTTGGTGTCTTCACGCTCTACAGCTGCCACATGCTGCGTGTGCTGGCGCTGCCGCTGTACCTGACCGAGGCGGCCATGGGCGTGTCGAGGGACAGGTCGGTTCTCTATGGGTTCGTGGCGCTGGTGGGGCTGACCTGGGGCGTGGCGCTGCTGATCCTCGGCGTCCATGTGGACTGGGACGGAAACCTCCCATACCCACACTCAAGATGGTCAGTCAGTCAGTCAGTCACCATGGGCAGGCAGCCAGGCATGACGGGACAGGACAGGGGCAGCAATCCAATCCAGACAGGAGGCACATTTGTAGCAACCGCCTACACCACAGTGAGCTCAGTTCATTGTCTGCCTGGTCTGTGTGTGTGTGTGTGTGTGTGTGTATTTAGGAGTTCCAAGGAGACGCCAGCGTTGGCCGTGACGTTGGTGCTGTCTGCGGCTCTCCTGCCCGCTGCCGGGTTGTGCGTGTGGGTGGCGGCATCCCTCTGGTCCATCTGCTTCATACGGGAGTCTTACCGAATGCTGGGATGGGACTTCCTACTCGGCAAGCGGACGCCCGTGGTCGAGAGGTTCGTGGGCTTCGGGGGGGCCTGGTGCTGCCTTCTCACCCCGGTGCTGGCATTTGGTGGGGTGCTCACGCTGGCCGTGCCGCAGCTGTGGGATTATCGGCCGGGCGACCCGCGACTCTTGTACCTCTTCCTGCCGGGCGGGACACTCATGCGGCTCCTGGTCTTCATTTCGGCATTCTGTGCAAGGGTCGCACCCATACTCGTATTCGGTAAGTAGGGAGGGGAGGGACAGGACAGAGGGATGTACTGGATGGACTCGGTGAATTTATGTGTGTTGGTGTGTGCAGCGCTGAGCCCTTCCCAGTCGATGGAGCTGCTGCTCAACTCTCACCTGTACGCCACACTGGCCCGGCTGGACTTCGTCGAGTTCAATCGCCGCGCCGCCCTGCACACACAGCCCGTGGAGACCGCCCTGAGCCCGCCCACCGCCAAGCAGTTTGCAGGCACCATGGGTGTGTTCTTCACCCTCATGTTCTACGCTATCCTGCTGCTGGGCGGACAGGCATGCCCCGACCTGCCCCTGCAACCCAAGCTGATTGTGGGCGGGGGCGGGGGGGTGACTTTGACGCTGGGAGGATTGGCGCTGCTGCTGCAGTTCGTGGAGTTCCCTCTGTACCTGGTGTGCTGGGCGACCCATCACATGACGCCTCTCAACAGGGATGTCGCCAGGGAAATGAGGGACAGATCTTGGTGGGATTGCAGAAGCATCCAGCCATACATACATCCATCCATACGACACACACATACCTGCGGCGTGTCGTGTGTGCCTCAGGTTGGGTATGGTTGAGGTGCGTGACATCGTGGCGTGGGAGTTGTGGCTGCTACGCAATCTCTACCACCTCGCCAACTACCCTGCTGTCAAGCAAAACCTGCTGGTGAGCAAAGCGCACGGACGCATGGCTGCATGGCCTAAGTAAGGCTGTCGATCCATCTATCCATCTGTCCATTCATGGCTGCGTCTGCCTGCCTGTGTGTGTGATCATCATCGTTTGTCACAGGAGACGCTTGAGGCCAACCCGCGGAACCACCGTGCGCTTCTGTACCTGGGTCTGCTGTCCTTGCGTGAGGGGCGGTACGATGAGGCCTACAACGACCTGCACAAGGCAGTCGACGTGCGGCCTGACTTCCCGGACGCACTCATGGAACTCGCAATCACCGTGCGGATGACACACGGGCCATACGAGGCACTGCCATACATGCAAGTCAGCAAAGGGGGCAGGAGAGTGGGAGGGAGGGACATTCACCGATACTCACGCACACGCCAACCAACGCCTCCTTGTGGCTCTTTTCCTCCCTGCCTGCCTGCCTGCCTGCCTCTGTGTCTGGTCTGTCTGTCAGCGTGCGGCAAGTCTGGCTGGTTGGCGTCCGAGCATCTGTTTGAACTATGGTGTGTTATGCCAAGCCAAGTCGCCCCCCGACCCCCACGCCGCCATCAAATGGTTCCGTAAAGGGCTGAAAGCCAAGAAGTGGGGGCTGCCAAAGAGCCTCGAGACCATGCTCACCGCCAACCTCATCGAAGCACTCATGACTGTCAGGTACCCACGGACTGACGGACTGACGGGACGCACACTGACAAACCGACAGTGCAGGAGGAGTGAGTGAGTCTCAATGTGTGGATGTATGTGTATGTGTGTGTCAGGCACTATCGTGAGGCCATGAATGCAGGCTACACGGGTCTGAAGGTCGACAAGACCAACGCACGCATACGGGTCTGCTACGCCAGGGCATGCCTTTGCGTCAGAGAAAACTCAAGGGCCGAAAAGCTACTCGAGGTGCGTACATACACTACGCACCTATCTATGCATGCGCTTATGCCAGCCAGCATGAATGGAGAGCGTTCGATGCACGCACCGCACCTCACACAAAGCGAAGCGTCCCTCTGTCTGTCTGTCACGTATGTGGATATATGGGATGCATTCTGTATATGTGTTTGTTGCGACTGACGTTGGTTCATTCAGTCGCTGGTGTCAAGTGAGCCGCCCCTGGCTTTGGGCGGTTGGTGGGGGGCCCTGGACGTGCTCAACACGGAGCAGGCGGAGCGTGAGCACTGCAAGGTGCTGCTGCTGGCCTCATCCCTCATGCGGGACCCCAAGTTTCAGCGCAAGTTTGTGGCGACCAAGAAGGTGCACCAGATGGAGGACAGAGCCATCGAGGCACTCAAGGCATACGTCAATAGACACCCACTCCCCGATAGCGCAACCACGGCATCTGGCCAACAGCAGCTGACGGCCCCACCCACACTGGCCGCCCCATCTGCAGTCAGCGAGGAGTCGTCTCGTGCCCCGCCTGCATCCGAGCCACCCAGCAGCATGGGCAGCAGCGGTGTGCCGCCGTCTTTGCCACAGCTAGGGCCCCACTTGACACCCCCATCACTCGACTCGCCCTCCCATTACCGCTCCCCGCCTGTGTCAAGTGGCAGCAGTGGGCGGGAGCAGCCACCAGCCGATGACAGCGGCGTGCTGGCGGGGCTTCGCCGCACGCTGAGGGGCGGCCGAGGCCGGGGGAGAGGGACGGATGCCGGCCGCCGCGACCAGGGGGATTCCGAGAGGGTGGGCCTGACGAATGAGGATGAGAGCGAGCTGGACCCCCTGTCTTTGGGCCGCCCGTCATGCATCCCTGCCGGCCTATCCATCACAGTGGGGTCCGACATGCAGGCCCTCCCCAATGGCAATGGCAACGGAGAGGCGGCCAAGGCTATCCTGCAGCATGATGTCTCCCACATGATGGCGGTGGGTGAGGAGCAGAGGCCCCCTGAAACTAGTGGGGACGAGAGGGAGGTCAAGCACAAGGACACCCCTCCCCTTGGAGGCGACACATACTTCCTCTACCCATCACTCGAGGTCAGACAGACAGGGAGGGAGGGAGGGAGCAAACACGACACACAGGCAGCCATACATACATGCATGCATTCGTTTGTCTGGCTCGTTTGTCTGTTGCATGTCTTCCTCCCCCGGTCCCTCCCTCCCTGGTTGTGGTATCTATCTCCCTCAGATGACCCTGTGGTTGGGTCGTATGCTACTGGACCGTGGTCAGGAGTTGGAGGCGCTCGATTACCTCCTCAAGGTGGCCAAGCACGACATCACCTTCTGCTGTGTCACATACGACATCGCCAAGGCATACTGGCGCCTCAACATCACCAAGGGGTGGGACAAAGATAAGAAGAAGAAGGACAAGAAACAGGCAAGACAGCCAACCCCGGGGGGTGGTGCCCAGAGGGATGGGGGGGTGGGGACAGCGGTGGCCACCGGCAAAGAGGCCTGCCTGATCATCGACCCCCTTTCCGACGACACATCGGCTCTCTTCTGGATCATGAAATTCCTACAGGTACGCCCAGACTTTAGTTACCGTCGTTGGTCAGTCGGTCGGTCGGGATCATTGATTCCTTGCATGCCTGGCTGTCTGGGTCTCGTGTGTGTGTGTGTGTGTGTGTGTCAGGATGACAGTCACAGCCGTGCCATATGGGAGCGCAATTCGGTTCGTAAAGGCGAGGCATGGCCAGGGCCCGACGTGTGGAAGGAAGACGGGGAAGAACTGTCACTCCTCAACCTGCGAGAAGCCAGGTAGGCAGGGAGGGGGGGACGCACTCAAGCACGCCACGCTACTCAAGCACTCAGACAGCCAGCTAGCCAGACAGCCAGTCAGCCAGTCACACCTGCAGGCCGAGGGCAGCTGGCCATGGATGCAGAGACACGGAGGGGGGAAGGGAGGGAGGGAGGGAGATATCTGCGCATGCTTTCTCTTCTCTCCTGTGTGTGTGTGGTATGTTACGGTGTGTCAATGGTGCAGGTACAATGCGTGTCGTTTGCTGCGTGAGTTGGGACAGCCCGATAAGGCGTTGCCGTGGGCCTCTGAGGCGTTTGAGTTTGACAAGAGTGTCCGTAAGAGCCTGCAGCCCCTCTGGCAGAGCATCAAGGAGGGGCGCCCAAGCCCCGGATACCTGCAATTTGAAGTCGGCCGATGCTATGCTGCACTCGAGAACTGGCCACTCGCCATCAACATGATGGACCAAGCCAAAGACCATATCAAAGGTAGGTAGATACACGCGTGGGACGGACGGACGGACGGACAACCGAACGGACAGGCACGTGTGTCACTCACCCACCTCCTGTGGTATGGTGTGTGTGTCTCTGCCAACATGTGTGTGTTGTACGAATGTATGTGTAGAGGAGGACAGAGGTGTGTTGTGTTCGGAGCTGGCGTGGGCCATGTACTGCGGCGGGATGAGCGACGAATACTGGGACCCTGAATTCGAAACAGCAATACTCCTCAATGGATATCAGAAGTAAGAATGATTAACATAGTCACAGACAGACGTGCACACAGACGACCGACGGCCAAGCAAGGAGATGTTGTCTTTCCTTGTCTGGTGTTTGTGTGGGTGTTGTGTCACTTGGTTGGTTGCCCAAGGGATCTGTGTGTGTCTCGGTGGCTGCGATGCCGCATTGACGCGTTGGGTGGCGTGGATATGCTGGACCACGCCTGGCTGCACCACGAACTACCCAAACTCATCACCGGAATGGCACAGGTACGTACGTACGTCAGACACACTCACACATACGCAAATAAATCAATGGATGGACCCAGTGTTGGCCGCCCTATCTGTCTGTCTGTTTCGGTAGGGAAGTCGTATATCGGCTTTGCATGACCACCGTCTGCTGCCGCACGCCCCTGCCCTCTCGCTGCTCCTGGGGCAGATGCTGGTGGCCATGGCCCTCCGCGACATCGAGAGCAAGTCGCGAAGCGAGACCTCTGTCGATCTGGCGGCGTCAGTGGAGGCCAGCCTTAAGGAGCTGCCAGCCCCGCAGCTGCGCCAAGTGTGTCTGGCCCTACAGGTGGTCATCTTCCACGGCCCAAAGCACCAACAGCACCCCCAGGCGACGGCAAGCAGCCCGCCCCCTGTGCCACCCACACAGACAGGAGTCAGTGTGGGTGAGAGTAGTGGTAGTGGTGGCGGCGGCGGTGGGAGGGTGGCACAAACAATGCAGGCCCAGGCAGCAGCGGTGGAGGATGGGAGCCCCGCATGGGCCATTCACATGTTCGACCTCATTTCAAGGTCGGTCGGTAAAAGGGCAGCCGAGCCGAGCAGGAAAGGAGCAGAAGGAAAGGAGGGAGGAAAAGTGGAACATACATGAACTCTGCGTGTGTGTGTGTGTGTGTGTGTGTTGATGGCTGCAGGACCTTTTCCCCTTTTGTGCTCACTTCACTGCAGGACTTGCCTGATGTGGAGTACCAGCTGACCACCTGTTTGTGGAAGGTCAGCCAGTATCCCGAAACGTCTTGTCACCAGCCTGGCCAACTGGATATCTGATACCATGTTTGTGCAGGTCAAGAATTACGACAGGGCCCTGCAGGTCATCAAGGAAGCTGCCACCTCAAGACACAAAACACACAGACGAATGCTGCGGTGCGTACGAGAGCAGGCAGACAAAACATGCCAGGCGTTCGCAATACATCGATCCATCCTGTTTGACTTATTCGCGACGTGTGCTTGTGTGTGCTCCTTCCTTCCTTGCTAGTATGGCGGCCCAGGGCCACTTTTCTTTGATGCAGTTCAGTGCCAGCCTAGAATACTATGAGAGGATCCTTGAGCTGCTGCCTCCCCGGTCCCAGCCCTCGAGCGAGCACACGAGCCCCCGTGAGGACTCTCGTCAGCGGGCGCGTCTGCTGCAGGAGTATGAGCTGCGCACCGAGTACGCCCGCGCACTCATCGAGGTGGGGCGGCCGGACGACGCTGTGGACGTGCTCGTCATCGTGCAGCAGCTGGCGGAGCAGACTGCATCACTCAACCACATAGCACATGCACGGGTAAGTAGAGGGGGTGGGTGCACCTAGGGGATGTACATACATACTGGGGCAATCAATGAATGAATGCATCAATCAGCCAGTGAGTGAGTGGGGCGGTGCGCTGGGCAGCCAGCTGAGCTAGTGAACATGTTAGCCAGACGGGCACGCAGCACCCACTCGATGGTTCAGTCAGTTGTGTACAAACGGTGCCGTTTGTCGTGTTCTTTGCAGGAACTGCTGGCAAAGGCACGAAAATTGCGCCAGCAGAGTGCCGACAAAAGCGCCAGTGCAGCAGCTGTCTCACAGGCACTCATCAACGGGGGATGATGCAACCGATGTTTGTGTGGACACAGCAAGCTAGGGTGCATTTAGTTGCTGGACATCAAGGTTGATGGGTGGCTGGGATGGGGATGTATGCCGTTTGTCCGGCAAAGTAAGTACGATTGATTGCCATGCATCCATCCTTCAGTCGAGTCGGTGGGGCGGGTAGTTGGGTTGGGAATGTCGGTTTAAAATGCCCACATCCGGTCCGGCCGTCAGTCAAACAATGCATGCATTGCATTGCATGTCCATGGTGGCCACGGGTGGGGGAAGTGCCGTGCGGCTTCCGGGCCGGTGCTGCCTTGTTTGCTCTGCTGGAGCGTGAAGAGGTGTATGCTGATGAGTGACCTGGATATATAGGTGGACAGATTTGAGATTGATAGCTGCACCGAGTCACGTGGCTATGCTTGACTCCTCTCCGGATTCAGGGGGAAAGCAAAAGATGAATTCGATCCTGCAAGATGCGAGCTTAGAATTGCGAGTGTTGGTCAGATCTGGTCATTTTCGTCGGTGATCTATGAGTTTGAGAATGCCGAAATGTCAAGCAGGATTCGTACTGCAAGTGGAGAAGGGCAGATCACATCCGAAGGTTCGTACAAGGTATCTGGGGCATGTGACAAGCTTCACGAGTTTGCAGTGATCCATCGCCGCCTTTGCATCAGTGCTCCTGTGACTTGTTTGTGTTGTGCCTCTGTCAGGTCATCGCTCTTCGACTGGCTCAGCTAAGGCCGCCTTCCCTGTGAACCAACGACGCCGCCGATGGGCACACGACCACCAGGCTGGTTGTCATTCCTCACCTTCGGCCATGTCGGCGGGTATGTCACGTGTCAACACATGATAGATGAAGGACGCTCGCTCTCTGCAGAGCAATGCTCATTGTGGCACGTGCGTGTGTGTGTGTGTGTGTGTACCAGGTTGCTGAGCATTGGTGGTTTGCGGCAGTACACGTCGGATGATGTGCCGCCCCTGTGGCAGAATGACGCGACCGAGGTGACGTGTGAGAGGTTCTCAAGTGCCCTCGATGAGGAGGTGATGGGGCACACCAAGGCGGACCGGTCTCTGTTGCGGGCGCTGCATCGGTCGCTGCTCAGTCCCCTTTATTGGCTGGGCATTCTCAAGATGGTGGAGCTGATCCTCACCCCGCTGCAGCCCCTGCTCATGAAGCGCTTTATCGAGTACATGGAGAACCCCTCAGGACGCGACCTCAATGACGGCGTCCTCATCGGGGCCTCTATCGTCTTTGTACAGCTCATCGGAGCCCTATGCACACAGCACTTCCGCTTCGGGGCAAGGAGGGTGGGCCTGCGCACCAAGTCAGCCCTTGTCAGCGCTGTCTTCCGACGGAGTATGCAGAGGGGAGCTCTCACGGCCAGTCATCAATCGGACAAGCACCCGCCCAAGGGCCACACGACCACTCGTGGTGGCGGTCCACCTTCGTCCAGTCGGAGGATGAGCAACGCTGACTTGTCCGATGCCGACGCGAGTGACGTGACGGAGTCGACACCGCTGCTGCCGCCACGTGAGGCGCCCCCAGATGGAGGCAGTGGAGGTCGGCCAGCGATCACCAAGAACCTCACCGACACAACCAGGAGCTCCAAGCATCACGAAAGCGACGAGGACACTGAGGTGGAGGTCATGGCTGTTGCTGCCGCCTCACGGGTGACACTCAGCTCAGGTCGGTGGTTGGGGCGGGGTAGGCGGCCTCGCTGGGTAGTAGAACGGGGTGGACCGTCAGACAGACACAGGGGGGCGGGTTGGCATGTCGACAAGGTGCGTGACAGGTGTTTCTGTCCGATGTGTATTGCTTACGCAGGAGAGTTGAATGACTTCATATCAGTGGACACCCATCGTGTGGGCGAGGCAATCAATGACTTCCACGAGTTGTGGTCCAAGCCTATCAAGGTGCTGATCAACTTCACTTTCCTTTACCGGGAGCTCAACAACCAGACGTCCTTCTGGATCGTCCTCACAGTCGTGCTGCTGCTGGTCGCCGTCAACGGGCTCATCCTGTCCCGCATCCAGCACCTCATTCGACGCATGATGCTCTTCAGAGACGCCAGGCTGCGCGCCTCCAAGGAGATACTCCAGAACATCCGCACCGTCAAGATGCTCTCATGGGAACAACACGCCTACCAGCGCATCGACCGAATGCGCTCAAACGAACTGCGCCGATTTGGAGCGCAGACCTACCTCAGCGCGTGCAGCAAGTTCCTGTTTGTCTGCACCCCTGCGGTGGTCAAGCTGGCGACCGTCATCACCATCGTGCTGCAGTCCGGCTCCCTCCAGTCCACATCATCGACATACACGACCTTTGCATTCATCGAGCGGTAGGGCCAGGGGCGGGGACCAACGGGAGACACGGGAATGTGCACACACCTCTCGGAGGAAGCATTGCTGGCTACTGCCTTTCTTGTGTACCTCCCGTAGCTTCCTGAATGCGATAAATGACATCCCTCGCGTGCTGAAGCTCTTCATCATCGCTCAAGTATCTATCCGGCGGTTGTCGGACTTCCTCCTCCAGGACGACAGGGTAGAGGCCCCCGCTTCCACTCGCTCGGGCACGGGTGGCAGGCAGGGTGCACCATCGCTGCCACAAAGGCCAACGCCCAGTCCATCATTGCCTCCGGTGTCTAGCGATGGGTACTACCTGCCCGATGGACGTCAGGGCCGTGGAGGGCCCGGCGAGGGAGGGAGTGATGTCGATGGCTTCCAGTCCGCGTGTGAGCACGACACGGAGCCGGAGCCCGAAGCACTGCGCCGGATGAGACCCCGTGGATTGACGTCGAGCTCGGCGTCTCTTGTGGCAACTGAGTCTCTCCCGCCTGCCGATCGTGTTTCACTTTCTAATCCGTCACGTCTGCGTTCTTCTAGTGTCTACAGTCAGGGGGAGAGACCTGATGTCTCTTCGGCTGTGGAGGACGTCTTCTACGATGTCGACGAGGGCCATGTGACGGATGCTGTCCAGGTGCCGCAGACGTCGCGGGCCCGGACGGCTACGACAGGCGATTTGGACCTTACGGTGGGACCTTTGCGGACACAGCGAGCGCGCCCCGCTAAGAGACACCCGGTGATCGACTTCAGAGATGCCAGTTTCAGCTGGCGCCCACCATCCAGGGACGCCTCCACGGGGGCGAACACTGCGGGATCGCTCGCGTTGCGGGAGATCAGGATGAGGGTGATGGAGGGCGATCTGATCGTGGTCCTCGGCCCGTCGGGTGCAGGAAAGTCTAGCCTGTTAGCTTCTTTTCTTGGGGAAATGAATCTGGCTGAAGGTAACCGAACCATTGGTTGATGAGGCTGGGCAAAGCGTGTCTCAGCGCCTCTGCTTTGCTGCTCCAGGTCGTGCGTCAGTCACCATTCGTGGGCACAGTGGGGGTGGCGTCGGGTACGCTCCGCAGTCACCGTGGATCGTTGCTGGCACAATCCGTGAGAACATCATCTTCCGTCGTCCCTTCGTAAGCCACAATCCCGCCCAACAGCGGGATCTCACAGCTCAACCAATGTTTAGGATCTCTCAGTGTGCATGCCTGTGTCTGTACACGTGTGCAGCATCCTGAGGCTTATGAGAAGATCATTGATGCCGTATGTCTCCGCGAAGACCTTGCCGAGTTTGTCGCTGGAGACCTCACCGAAATCGAGGGAGGTGGGCACAGTTTGTCCGGCGGCCAACGGGCGAGGATCAGTCTGGCAAGGGCTGTGTATGCTGCATCGCTTGCCAATGAAGACCAAGGAACCGAGATTTCACAGCAGCTGTTCCTCATTGACGATCCTTTTGCTTCGCTGGACGCGACAACGACGAGGAAGGTGTGGCAGGCGGTCTTCCAGTTCCCCAATGGAATCCTCTGGGGCCACCACACATCGGCAGCTGGAGGAAGGACCGGACGCCACCGCACCTGCGTTCTGGTTGCCCACGCTCTCGGTGCATTCCTCGCGGACCCGTCAATATCGAGGATCATCGTATTGCGCGCTGGAAGGGTGGCTGCCGCTGGACGCTTCCATGAGCTGCAAAGAAGGGGTACTCCGGAGGTGCTCTACGATTTCTCAGGGCCTGATTTGCCTCGTGTCTCATTGATCAAGCGAGGCAGGTCAGCAAGCGTATCACATGGCAAGTGAATGCAAACGTACAATTCCGCCGTTTCCCCCGATCCTGACAGCTTTCCAAGCCTTTCCGCGTACGCTGGTCCGGCGAAGAAGAACGAAAGCAGTGGCATGACTCTCGTTGCAGCGCCATCCGTGCCGCGCATAGCGAGAGACTTCTCTGTCGGCTCTGTACAAGCTTATGCTGGAGAAGTGAGGGTAACCTTTCCCCCGGGGCACAGAGGCAAACGACAGCAGGACACCAAAACCAACGCAGGCGCTCGGCTCGTCGAGCCAGAGGAACGCCATCGTGGGTAAGACGAGATTCCTTGCACGTGCAAGGTCCTCTAATATCCCATTGTACCCTCCCTCAGGTCTGTGGGTTTTGAAGTTTACTGGTGGTAAGGTTAACGATCTGCCACACGTTCCGTTCTCGCTGTGATTTATTGATTTCAATGTGCGTAGGTATTTTCGGACGTCCCACATATTAGGTGTGCTCTTCATCGTATTATGCTCATCTTGGATGGCAGCCTCCTGTCCAAACCTTCTCGAGTTTGTTGTCGGGCTCTGGACAAGTGGCCGGGCACCTCCATTCGGTCGTTACATGGGTTTTCATTGGTTCGAGCAGCGGGGCTGGATGCAGTACTTCTATCTGCTCATATACTGCGGTGTTGCCCTATCTATGCTGGGGGCAAGTTTTGTTGGGATCTTCGGGTGCGTTTGCAGGCAAAACTTTTTTCCCCCACGCATTACAACCCTCCCTCTTCTTCTCTGTATTTTGCAAGGTTTGCGGCGTGTTTTCTGTGGGCATCAAGAGAGGTACATGACCAACTGCTGCGGAGTGTAATCTGCGCCCCATCCCATTGGTTTGACCGGACACCGGTGGGACGTGTGATGAATCGTCTATCAGACGGTAGGCAACTGACAACCGAAACGGAAGGCTTGCTTTTTTGTCACACATAATACGCTGTCAGACATTTTCACCGTCGATGAGTTCCTGCCAAGTACTTTACAGGTAGCAGCCTGTATGAGTCTCTTTCTTGATGATTGATGTGTGTGTCTGTCGTTTCCCTCTGATATGCTCCGACAAGATCACTATCGGCGCGGCAGGTAGCAAGACGAAATGCAGTCCTTCCCATGCATGCTGTCTGTTTCCACATCTTACAGCATCATTGTGGTCGACAGTTTGTCTTCTCGCTGCTGCTGTTCCACTGCTGATCTTCGTGCTCCCATTCATCAGCCTGATCTACCTGAAAATAGCTTTCCTTTATGGCGGCAGAATGAGGTACAAACCACGGACTGAAACAAATCACGTGTGATTTTGTCTTCTGTATCAAAATGAACGCAGGGAAATCAAGAGACTTGAGAACGTCAGTCGTTCGCCGATTTATGGCACTTTGTCGGACCTACTCACGGGTATCACCATCATCAGGGCATTCAGGTGGGATTCAAACACATAAAGACGCGATTATCGTAAAGTGAAAGAAGCAGTATTCTCGTGTAGAGCGGAGGAAAGGTACTTTGCCGAGTACAAGAAGCACGTAGAAGAGAACCAGCGCATAGGATTCGCGAACTACTGCCTAGAGGGGTGGTTCTCACTGCGTCTCGAGCTGATCGGTCAGCACGATGGCCAAAAACCCCTGTTTCAGCGCTTTGACAACGAGAATCGTGCTCAGGGGTGGTGTGGACCTTTTCGATAATCTCCCTTTCTCTGGCCCCCCTTTTTTTCGGCTTCGGAATGCGCCTGGAAAGCAGCACGCTGGTGAGCCAGGCTGCTGGAACGGCGTTGGCGCTCTATGCAACCAACAGAATCGTCTTTCTCATGAGCCACACTATACGGATGGCTACCACGTGAGGCGAAGAGGTGATTGTACGGAAGGCTAACAGGTCTAATTGCATGTAATTGCATGTCAGGGTTGAGAGGCATATGGTATCGATCGAGCGGTTGTGGGAATACGCAACGGTAGGCTTCGACTGGAGCGACAGACAGCGGTGACGAGTGCTGAGAACCTTTGACTGCATTCAGATGGAGAGGGAGAACGGCCTGACGAATCTGAGTTCTTTGAGCAGCAATGTTCTAGGTCCTGGCTGTCTTTCGAAGGGCATTGCGGTTCAATTTTTGTCATTTCCCTTTCTTCGCCTCTTTGCTTGCTCTTTGCTTGCAGCCACCAAGCTAACGAAGAGTCAAAAGGGCCGCGATCAACGCAAGTAGGAAGAAGAATATGGTCGGATGCTCTCATATTCATGATGCGCGATGCAGGATGCAGCAGCAACAGCTCTCAAACAGCATCAGGACCTGGCAAGCGGTCTCCGGTGCAATCGAGTTCAGAAATGTCACTCTCAGATATCGGCCTGCGTGTCCTCCCGCGCTGAGTTGCATTAACTTCACTGTCCAGCAAGGCGAAACCGTGGGGATTGTTGGACGCTCTGGCGCTGGAAAGACGTCCATCTGTATGGCACTGCTGCGGTCAGTGATGGATGAGGCTGTCTATGAAGCGTGCTTTTTTCAAGGTGTCTGTTTGTTGTACCTTCCAGGATGGTGGATTTTGACGGGCAGGTTTTCATTGACGGAATTGACAGTGCGAACATCGGGCTTGAAGAACTGCGCTCCCAGATTGCCATCGTGCCGCAGAATCCCGTCTTGTTTTCCGGATCGGTCCGTCACAATCTGGACCCATCTAATCGCTGCACGGACGAGCAAATTTGGGAAGTTCTCAATGCTTTCGGAATCGCAGACCTTGTTCGCTGCTTCGCAAAGGTACTGAAAAACTAGAAAAGCATCGCGCCTGTCCGGTTTCTCTTGATCTACGGTAATGTGAGGCAGGGATTGGACGAGACTATTTGCACCGACGAGAACATCTCATACCTGGAATTTCGTCAACGACCAAGGCAACTACGAAAGAGCTACAACAGGAGAAAGAAGGAAGAGCTTCCAGGGCCTGTGCCCTCGCTCCAGCCTTCCTTTCGTCAACAGACGACAACAACAACGGCAGCTTCCGACAACAGTCATGACGAAAAAGAGTACGCCCCGACTCGCAGAAGGACAGTATCCTTCGTCTGTTCAAGGCGACGACGGGACCGAAGCGACTCGAAACCCCTGCTGTTGGAGACCGCAGACGCCGCGACAGGCGCGATCATCACGGACAGCTTTCGGCCGAAGAGTGCAAGTGTTTGTGCTAAGCGTAATCGGAGGAGACTCAGCACAGACAGTCGGGACAGGGATAGTCAGCAGTCTCAAGGCCGGCAACTATTCTATCTCAAAAAGAAGAGTCAAGAAGCATCCAGATCGACTGATGAGAGGCTTTCGCTGGGCCAGAAACAGCTTCTCTGTTTCTGTCGAGCAGTATTGAAGGACAGTCGTGTCATCCTTCTCGACGAAGCTTCCAGGTAACTTTAGAGGCCGTTTCATGTCGAAAACTGCAGTGAGCACGTTTGCACCTTCTGCTCTGGTAGTTGTGTGGACGTCGGGCAAGACAGTATGATCTTCAATTCCCTGCATCGTCACTTGAGGTGGCTTATTACTCACGGGCATCGATGTGTCGCTGCTGCCTGCGTTCTGATGATGCAGGGACAAGACTGTGGTGATGATCACGCATCGCTTGCGAAGCGTTGTTCAGGTATGAAACTTGCTCACGCATCCATGCGGGCTCAATTGCTAAAGCTCGATTCTCTGCGCAGCACTGTGATCGCGTCCTCGTGTTCGACCATTCCGAGCTGGTTGAGGTATGCAAGCAACAGAAGCCTACAATTGTGAGCAATGGCTTCGTGCTTTTGGGCAGGTTGGGAGGCCATCCGTTCTGTTGGAAGACAAATCCAGTCGGTTTCACGATTTGTACTACGGAGGTGTCCGACGGTTGACCAGTGAGGCTTGTGTTTTGTGAAGCTGCCATGATTGTAGAGAATAAAGCAATGCATTTGTGCAGTAGCATGCGGTTACTAGTAATGTCTGTACAGCATGAGACTGTGGATTGACAATGTCAACAAACAATGTACATCATATCACCTGCAGACTTACGACTAAGGGAGTTCAATGATGTGCGATAACATAGACCATACTAGCGTCATCGTCGACTGCCTTGCCGCACCCCATATCAGCTGCTGGCACCCCATATCAGCTGCTGCGGGGGGCCACAGCGCCTCGGCAACGGACACACTGTCATCGGCACATATGCGTCACCACTATCTAGTGCCGAGCTCCCTTATTGTCTGCTGCTGCCTGCCGATGAGACAACTTCGCGAGTAGGAAGCCGACATCCTGCAAAAAGAAGTACGGTTTTCATACGTCACATGTACTCATGTAGGTTTCCTTCTCACTTGTGCATCAAACGCATGATATTGGGCACGCGAGTTCTTACGGCCGACCGTGGCACAAAAGTGGGAACTCGCGGTGGTCGACTTTGGTCCCTCACTGGCAGGTGTTTCCAGTCCAGACGCATACTTGTGAATTGTCGTAAAGACCTGTAAGAGCCGCAGGAGACTTAGGTGTTGCGTTAGTACTTTGTTTTCGCATTCTTTGCACCTACGTCTTCGTCTCTCATAAGAAAATTTCCGATGCACAGGAAAAGCTGAGGGAAGTGAACACACAGGGGCTTTACAGGTGCGTTCGCTGGTGAATTAATGATACCCTTTCGCTCGGAAGGACACTCGATTCGCTTGGAATGATCGTCGCCAGAATTTTGTCTGAACAATTCCATTCAAAGTATAACGAACTCCACAATATGTATAAGATACATTACGTATTCATTCACCTAGCGCCGACGCTTTGCTCACTTCGCCGTGTCTCACTTCAACGCTCTGCGTGCCGACCACGACATCAGCGCCCGACGCCACTAAAGGGCCAGCCCAAAGATGAATTAACAAATCACGGGCCTGGATCGCGCCGTGGTCCCTCTGCATAAGCCGAGCCCACAATGGTTCCGTCACGTTCTAGTCTTCGTAGTTTGTTTTCACCTGTGTATTCTGATAAACCCACGAAACCGAAGTCTCGGTTTCATAAGTCACAGAACCTGCAAGTTTGCGGCAAACACCTCGTTTCGTCAGCGAACCAAATCTGTAAATGTGTAGATGTGTATATACCAGGTGTTCGCTGGACAAAATACTTGAGTATGTCTTTGACCGCCTCCTTCCATGATAGATCTAAGTCGTCCTTTTCCCACTTCCATGAATCGCCTATTGCCCTGAGTAGTCAGCAAAAACGTCACCAAAAAGCACTGACTTCTGGCACTGCTTACTTGACGCAATGACCGTTCTCTGCCATCATCTGAAGGGTTGAGGAGATCATGAAATGCAACGGAATAGATGCCTTGTGTTTCAGTTGAAAAGGCACTCACCCAAACCCTGTCTTTCAGAGTGCCGAGAGCTTTGTCCATTATCTTTGTACGCAGACACACGCACACACAGAGAGACAAACGTCCGTTCGATGAGACACTTGCATTCGTCTACACATACCGAGCGGCAAGAAGAGGAGGCAATGATGATGACGTTCCGTGGGTCTTGTGCCAGCACCTGAATACAGACATACGCTGTCTGCAACATCACAGGCTGTTCTGCCTACGATAGGCTGTCTTACGGAAAGCGACTGTTGGTTGAGCGCGCTCAACCGTACATGGCCGAAAATCTCCGCAGCGTACACGTCGCCACCGCCAAGTTTACTCGGGAATAAAGTGCCTCTGAAACCCAGCACGATTATCCGCTGCATAACACCCAGTCAGACCTGACGCCATGCATCACTCAATCCGAGTCACCTGCTTGATGGCCGGATGAAAGAAAGCCCGCAAAACCTCGTCGTCTGGACAGATTTGGCACTCGGAGTTCGACGGAAAATTCGCCTGCCACTTCCAACTTACGGGAAAGAAGGGGAGGGATGTGGAGACTCGACATCTGATCGATTGGTATTTGATCTATGCCGTAATTGATTGATGCCTGTCTACGTACGTGGGTCTATTACCGACCTCCATTTCGCTGATCGCCTCCTTAAACTCATCAAGCAAGCGCTCGCCCCACTGAGGATATTGAACAACAATACGCAGAGCGAATCCAAAGCAGTCCGTACGTCTTTTCTTACTCGGTGTGCTGTGTGTTTCATGACGTAGTTATAGGCGTACTCGTGCCGTTTTGATTTCTCTTCGTCGTTCATGATGACGGCGTCATGAATGGCTGCAGCGAATCTGCGAAGTAACGCCTCACGATACTGACCCAAGCAGAAAAAAAGAACTCACCCACCCTACCCGTTTGTGTCCCATGGATTTACGCATATTGCCGCCGCTCCCAGCGACTGGGCAGAGCCTGGAACGAACAGAGGATGGCTGTTTCTCTGGATTGTTGTCTATTGTTTATACCCGAGAATTCGCTGAGTATCAGCACTCCACGATTTGTTGACTGTTGGCAAAGGATGAATTCGTAGGCAGTGAAGCTCAGAGATTCCCTGAGGGATGTAATGAGGCCAACGTCAGCCAGGGCGTAGACAGGCACAAGTTCTTGGAATCTGACGGAGAAAATGTGCGAGAGAAAGGAAGAGGTGGTCAGTGGATTCAGCCAAGGCGAACGTGAATCGTTGATGGAGAAAGTGGACAGGGACGGCATCAAAGGACCCAAATTGCGCGTTGATGGCGCCGGCAACTTGGTACACTTGGTAGAGGATCTCTTGTCTGTCCGCGAGACCATAGACAAGCAAGGGATTCACTGAGCTATCACGACCCCAGTATACTATTACCTGTCGGCTTTGTCGATAGTGATTTCCTCGTCACCAGCAGATTCCTGAGACCAATATCGATGCAGGCCTTCTGGCCGGATCCACGGCGCATCGACCTCCTACCAACGGAAGTGTGATCTGCGGCAGAAATCAAATTCTCACTTGTCTCAATTCGTCCGGCGTTCGTGCCTGTAGATAGATGCAGTTCGCGGCCCACTCAGGATAGTTGTGAAGGAACTTGTAGAAGGCCATCATCTTGTGAGGAATGCCCTGAGACACAAATCGCAAAGCGCAGAGACAAACGAAGACACGGATGCCAACCGTCCTCCCCATCCCTACTTTGATGTAGTCGAGCGTATCGATCCCCAAAAGGACCTTCCTGCCTTGGAATTTGCTGCTGAGCTCCTGTATCTGAAAGAGAGTCGCTTCTTTGTTCATCTCGGACAGCCATGGGTCAGGGTTTATCCCTCGGGGGACAGTCACAACACGGGAACCTAACAGAGAGGGAGACAAGTGTTGCATCACGGATAGGAAGTGTCAGCGTGGGTCGTTTGCATCAGTCCACACCGCATCCACCCGCTTCCGGACAAGCTTCGATGCCTTCTGCCTTGCACTCCACTCCCAAGACCCGAGTGCATGCAGTGAGAAAGTGCCGCTTGTACTGGAAGCTGTGGAAACCCACCTGAGTCACATCAACACGATGTGAAGCCGCGAGCTAAACCACAAAGGAGGCTGACCAGGTTCGCAGCTAAGACACCGCGCAACAGCTCTTCACGCTGTGGCAGTATCCTGTACATCTCTGAGGATGGGAATACAGTGCTGAGGTAGAAACCAATGTGCGCGTGGGGAAGGTGCTGAAAGCACACGCGTCCATGGCGAGGTCACTTCTGCGCCCAGACGTCTCTGCTTACCTCTCTAAGCAGCTTGGGCAGCAGCATAAGGTGGTAGTCAAAGACGAGAATGATGTCGCCCTCCTCGTATACGCTGCGAACCATGTCGCAGAATATAGAATTCACCCGCGCGTAGGCAGACCACTCCTCCACCCCCACCTGTCAAACACAGCACACAGAGCTGCACTTCAGCGCCCCACAGCCTGATTGCCCAGTACAGTCACCTCGTATCCTGTCCCAATTGGGGGGGTGCGGTAGTGGAAGAGCGGCGACAGGATTGACTGACAGTAGGCGTCATCCATTGTCTCGTCGTCCAAAAACACACTGCACAGAATCAACAAAGGGGTAACTGGGGGCCAGGAGAGCAGGGTGTGTGGCGCTGCCCATCTCTGGGCCTGAAACCCGTGCTTACGGAACGCAGTTGAGCGAGGGGTCCGCAGTCCCTAACATCCATCCAGACACAAAGAAAGTAAGTCCTCTCCTCCGTGAGACACGTGCGCTGTCTCACCCTCGATGTCCCAATGTGAGTTGTCCTGGGTCTCTCCTCCGCCCCCTCCCGTGTCGGTTGCCTTCTTGCCGTGCGTCCCTCCCTTCAAGTAGCGCTTCAGACGATCACGCAGCTCTGGATCGGCTATCTGCATGATCAGCAAAGAGAGAACACGGAGAGATGTTCATTGTCTGCCGCGTGTCGTGCTTGCCCCTTTCTGTGACCGACCTCTATCCCCGGGCTTCCCACCGTGACCTTCTCTAAGGGGGTGCCCGCACGGCTGGAGGCACCTCCATCAGCAGGGGCCTGGGGCGGTGGACATGCCTCGGCCGTCGCTGGGGTGGGGGGAAGCGGGGCTGCAATATCGCGTGTCATGTCTTGCTGCGATGGGTTCCCCCCCGCCCCGCCGGCCGCCGTGTCCACCACTGCATCGTTGGTGGGGATGACCTCGTCCGACTGCGAGAGCGGCATGATGGCCTCTTTGGGGAGGCACTTGGACACGTCGATGCGGAAGTCACCCGTGAAGTGGGAGAACTGCTGGGTCTCTGCGTCGTACTGGATGTAAAAGGGCAGCCGCCGGACCACAACAATCACCTTCGGCAGCCGCCTGGTCTTCTCAATCTGGTGCAGCTGCTTCTTCCGCAACGCTGTTTGGAAGGTCCCATGCTGGTGCCGTCTCTTGACGAACTCATCGATCTCACTCTGCAGCCACGCGCGCATTTCCTCACTCTTCTCCACGGCAGGGGCTGAGGACGAGAGCCAGGACACGTCTGCCTCTCCGACGGTGATTGAACTTGCACGGCACGTATGAGTTCAATCACACCTCTGACAGACAAAGGTCAAAGCAGAGGCACAGCGCAGACAGCATCATTGCAATGACGGCACATTGTGTCTACCTGAGTTCATATGCATATGTGAAGCGCCTCGTTGGTTCCAAAAGGGGCAATGCAGATCTATGCGAGCTTAGCTGCGAGCCTTGGATCTACGACAGCTTTTAAGCGATCTCTGAACATCGAGTAATTATCTTCCTGTGTGGGTGTGCACCACTGGTTGTCGACAGCGCTCTCCGCGCCGTCCATAGCTAGATGAGCTCGAAGCTCAAGAAGGCGCTGCTGGCGCTGAATTCGTCCCTCGCGAGTCGGCATCATGACGCCATTGAGAAGGGCCTCTTCAAATTGGGCGACGAGGTGGTTGACGACTCAGTCAGCGTCCGCGTATTCAACCAGCGCTTCTCGCTGCACTGGGGGTAAGCACGCACACACTCACGCTCACACACACGCAGTGTCGACGTTTTCATGTGTGTGCCCTCTGTCTTTCCGACCAACAGGGACATAGAGATTTATCCTTCTGGTGAGTGCTGGGTCATGTCTGATAGCGACGGTAACGACGCATTCATCGAGCAAGTCAATGAAACACTCCAAAAGGTACGACTAACAGCAAGCTCTCACTCTGGACCTGCGCGCGATGCACGTCTTTGTCCCTCTTCACTTTGCGCGTGTGCGTGTGTGTCGTGTAAGAGTGACTCATGCAGCCTTTGCGCCGTCCTTCGAATCATGGCGGACAAGCTGATGACGGCGGGGTTCCCTCCTGCCGTCGGAACTGTCATCCAGGTAGCCACCACGCATTCTCCTTCCTGATTTATCGATTCACCTAACTAGACACGCACTGTCCACCTATCCATGACACACATTGCCTGGCTGCATGTCATGGGTTGGCCGTACGTAATGTACGGTTGCATTCTCCGTACATACGTGTGTTTCTTTCTGTGTCCGACAGGACTTGCTTGAAGGCGATGGCAACCTGCCTTCTTCTTCTCCTCAGCCAGCGGGTCGTGGCGGTACCTGTGTGGACGAGGAGATGAGGGACGCCGACGAGCAGCACGACGACGAAGATATTGCCTATGACGACGGTAAGCAGCCAAGGAAGGAACCAAGCAAGCGCGGGAAGGACAGGACAGAACGCAGGACAGGCAGGGGGTGGGTACACGCACAAGTGTTCTGTCTGACCTGCTTGTGTTCACCTACCGGACTGTGCCATCCATGCCATGTAGAGTATGACGACCAGCAGGGTTACGACTTGGAGGAAGAGGGGGAGGTTGCCAAGACGGAGCAGAAGTACCACAAGAAGATCAAATGGAAACAGGCCGAGGAATTCAGAATGTCAAAGAAACAGGTCGGTCGGTGGGACGGACGCACACGTGACATGACTGATACTGACGCACCTCTCAGCTACACATGCCTTTCACCGACCCGCCTATGTATGTGTATGTGTGTGCGCGGCCGCTGCCTGCAGAAGCACAATATCGACCAGTTTGCGAAGCGCCAGATTTTTACCTCCCAGGAGGCCTTTCAGATCCTTTCCAATGAGCTTCTCCGAATCCAGGAGCAGAGCCTCCGATGGAACGCTGATGCAATCGAAGACAGGTACGGAGGGGCTGCATCAATAATGTGGGCTTTGACTCTGAGTCAGCCTGGGTTGCAATTGATTCCGTTTATCTGTCTGTCTGTCTGTCTGTGTGTGTGTGTGTGTGTGTGCAGTGTGTACAACTGGCGTGTGGTCCTGCCTCGCGAGGCCTTCGCGGCGGAGTCGACTATCTCTCAAGACCTGAAGACCCTGTCTGACCAGGGCTTCGACGGGGCTATCATATTCGAACTCCACTTCAAGGTCACCTCACCCACATCACACGCACGCTCCCTTGAGACAACACGGCACGACAGCCACAGACGTGTGTGCTGGGATGTGGTGTCGTGCCGTGTGTCAGGACGACCTGCACCCCTTCTATCCACCTCAGCTGATATACGTCCGGCCACGACTGCGATTCATGTACGCACTCACGGACGCTCCGAAGCGCACACACAGACAATGGCACGCATGATTGATGTGTGGGTGTGTATGTCAGCGACCCTCGGGTGTCTCCCAACGTGTCCATGTTCGACTCGCTCACCTGCCATCCCCTTATCACCCTCAGGTACCTGCCTACCCTCAATGGCACACATGCATGAATGGGTCAGGTCAACCGACCTGCACCAGGAGTCCTCCCTTCCTTCCTGCGCCCCGCCCCCTGTCTGTCTGTCTGTCTATCATCATGTCAGGGGCTGGAACCCGACAGTTCAAGCCTCTGAGATCATCGGTACGTGCGTGAGAGACATTCACACGTACACCTCTCGATCCATCGCATTGCTTTGAATCGCCTGCATTGCCTGCCTGCCTGCCTGCGTGTGTCAGAGTTCTTCCTCCGGTTCATCCAGTCATATGCCGCGGTAGACTTCTCGGCGCACGACAACTTGGATGCCGCCTACCACCCCATGTACGCACTCATACACATACACACGTGCACGTGGGCTGGGCTGGCCCACCACATCACAGCAAGCCTTTCCTTGTCTTAAGAGTATTCATTGCTGGATGGATGGATGGACGCATCGCATGTGTGTGCTTTGGTTGACTGATCGATCGATCAGTGAGCGTCACCTGGCCCAGATAGCGTTGCTGTGTGACCTGGCACCCAGCACCAGCCACACCCTCACGCTGTCGGCCAAGATTCAAGACACAGGGCCATGCGTCAAAAAGGCACTCTCGGCCCTCCAAGGTACGCAGGCAACTCATTCACTCATTCGCCCTACAGTGACGGACCATACACACAAGCAGCCAGGCCAGGCCATGCCGTGCCATACGGTTGCTTGATGGCCCATACGGTTCGTTCCTTGCTTGCTTCCGTTGTCTGTCGAAGGCGGCGAGGTCCCTGCAGTGGTGCGCAAGCCACCCTCGTCATCGGCCAAGAACACCGACGGTACGGCACTCACTAACGGGCCGCTCTCAGATAGATATCCATGGATGACAGACAGACAGACAGACAGACTCACACACAGACAGACGGTCGACCGTTTAAGTCACTTGTGCGTCCATCCATCCATCTCTGTCTGTCTGCTTGTGTTAACTATGACACTGTGCCTCCCCAGGTGGATCTTTTTTCGCCAAGGGTGTGGGGTATTCATCAGCTGGCGATTCGCGTGGTGACAAGGGGAATGCCACTTCTTGGGACGCAGCCGCCACCCAGGCCGCACAAGCAGCACAAGACCAAGACATCTGCGATCACGTCATTGTAAGGCCACCACAGCCACCACAGCCACACTCCCTACCCTCGCGCTAGCCAGTCGCCCACGGAAGCAAGGAAGCAAGGATGGGATGGGATGGGCGCGTCCGTGTGTGTGCTGAATGTGTGTGGTGTGGTGTGGTGTGTGTGCCTGCGTCAGGCGTTGAATGGCATCCTGAGTGAGGTTGACGCCCACGCTCGTGCCTCCACGCCCACATCCTCCTCGGCTCACAGGCAGGACAAATCCCAGCAGGCAGAGCGAATCTTGACACAAGCCAACGCCTGGTGGGCAGAGCACGCGCCATCCAGCCAGCTACCCGGACCTCAAGTATCTATCCTATGTGCATGAAAGTCATTCGTTGGGCGCTCTGCCTGCCTGCCTGCAGGCTGGCCACGTCGTGCCTGGGTCACTTTTTTTCGCGAACTCTGATGACGTCTTTCACCAACATGCTAGACCGGCTGCCCTTCTACAAGGCGGTCATCGCTTTGCTCAAGACCGTCCACTCGCGGGCATCCGACGGCGGCTCGACGATGGGCTGCTTCCGAGACACTGCCACCCAAACGCTCACCAGGCTGCTCGAGCTGCAAAAGGAAGCAGAACTCTACATCAAGGTAGGGACGGAGGGACAACACATATCGCGTTGTGGTGTCCGTCATCTGCCTCATGTGCGCCAAACACATAGGCCGTAACAAACCTCCAAGGCGGCCCCTCACGCATCTCGCCCCAGCCATCAAGCTCAGGTTGGTTGGCGCGTTACTTTGCCGCACACTACGCGACGCCCGACAGATGCCACACAGCATACCCTTTCGCTGGATGTACGGGGTCTCTCTCTCTCTCTGTCTCTCTGTGTATGTGTGTGTGTGTGTGTGTTGGCAGCAGCAGCAGCTGCGGCCGGTGGTCCATCTGCAGAGGACATCACTGAGGCAAAGAGTTTTGCCAATGACGTGGTCACTTTGATGCCTGCAATCATCGCACACCTCAAGGGAGCCACCGGGACACGCATACACGTGAGCCAGCCAGCCAGCCAGGCAGCCAACTGTACACTCACGTGCTGCCCTGCCCTCCTTCATTGTGCATTGCTTGCTTGCGTGTGTGTCAGGCTGTGAATGGCGAGGATGACGAGGGGGAGCGATACAAGACCCGCCTGGCCGACAAGATGCTGGACCAGTCCCCTTCCGTCCGCACAGGTATATATATACACACACGTCACCCACCCATGCATGCGACCCAGTGGAGGTGCGGGGAATGTTTGGTCTGTCCGTGCTGCTGGTCTGGCATGCAGGCCACGCCCACCTGACATGCCAGCAATCAGAGAAGGCATGTCCCCCGGCACGGACTGCTCGCATCGCAAAAGAGCTGGTGAGGCCAGGGGGGGGCGGTTACATACCTACCGGCTGGCACTGCATGCACCACTCCACAGTAGCATAGCAACGGTGTACGTCCTTGCGCATCCCTCTCCTCTCGCTCAGGCTGGGCTTCCCTCTCTGCTGGTACTGAGCAAGGACGGCTCGATCTTCGTGCGATCGGATGAGCAATCCTCGCAGGTGAGTGACCAAGTGCCCCGCCCATCCATCCTCCCACCACATGATTCCCTCCGTGTTTCATGACGATCGTGCGTCCCGTCTGTCTGTTTCTGTCTGTCTTTGTCTGTCTGTCTGTCTGTCTGTCTGTTCCGGCGTCCGTCAGCTGTGGCGAGCGCTCATCACTGGTCCGACAGAGACGCCTTACGATTCGGGGGTGTTCTTGTTCGACATTTATTTCCCTCCGGAGTATCCCACCATCCCCCCGAAGGTGTCGTTTCGCTCGACGGGTGGCGGCAAGTGGCGGGCCAACCCAAACCTATACAATTGTGGTATGCATGTACAAGATGAATGCCTACACACATACAGACACACATACACATACATATACATGTGTGGGTGGGTGGGACGGGAGCAAGGCAGGCAGGGCAAGGCAGGAGGGGTGGCAGTGTGTGGGTCTGTGTGTATCCTATGTATATGCATAAGTCTTTGTGTCACTCACTCATTCGCCTCCCTCCCTCCCTCCCTCCCTCCTCCGTTGTGTGGTGTCTGTCTGTCGTTTGCTGTGTGTGCAGGCAAGGTGTGCCTGTCCCTGCTGGGCACATGGAGCGGTGGTGCCGGCGAGGGCTGGGACCCTGCTGTGTCGACGGCCTACCAAGTAAGATCAAGGAAGTAAATGGACAGGATCAACACCGCCGAGCGACATACAACAGGCGGCAGAGATAGATGTGCATTGGTTGGTTGGTTGGTTGCACTGGACCGACCTGTGTTCTGTACAGGTGCTCTTGTCAATTCACAGTTTGATCCTTGTCAAGGAGCCGTACTACAACGGTGGGTGGGTACACTCCACTCGTCCATCGTCATGACTCGACTTACTCATGTCCCTCCCTCCCTCCCCTGTGTGCATGTGTGTGCAGAGCCGGGGTATGAACGTCAGGCGAACACTGAGGCGGGCCGGAACGCTTCAAGGGGATACAGCATGGGAGTGCGGGAAGGCACTATCGGTCAGTGCAGCGAGGCTTGCACGCCTGCAGGCAGGGACGGAGGAGGAACAAGGCAGCACTCCTTTGTGGACTCATTGTTTCGTTGTGTGTGCATGGCCGGACCCTTGGACATGTTGTGTCGTGTTGTGTGTTGTCAGAGTGGGCGATGTTGGACATGATGAATTCCAAGGCCTTTCCCGAGTTTAGAGACGTCATTCGCGAGCACTTCAAACTGAGGCGGTGGGTGGCTGGGTGACAGGCGACGGCAAAGAATGAATCACTCAGCGCACTAATCATCACGATTCATCTCCCTACCATGTGTCTGTGTGTGCGATGGATGGATGGATCAGAGAGCACATCGAGCGGACGATTCTCAAGTGGATCAGCGAGGCAAACGGCAGCAAGTCCACCAACGCCAACACCGCGCCCACGCCCGCCCCAGCACCGCCTAGCACTCCTCCCCTACCCATGCCGCTACTGGTAGGTAGCTACAACAAACTTGTTTGCTGCACACACGACAAACAACGACTTGTCTGTCGGTATGGTGGCCGTCTTGTCTTGCTGTGTGTCGTCGGTACAGGGCAGCACTGGTGGGGCCATGGGCAGCAGCGCCATGTCCGTCGACTCCCCTCCCGCCGCTGCAGCCGCAGCTGCTGCCGCCGCTGCTGCTCCTGCCCCTGTGCCGCCCCCCATGGCTGCCATGCCCTTCACGCCCCACCTGTTCGCTCGGCACGGCAGACACACAGACGAAGCCGCACACAAAAGGTAGGTACACAAGTAGGGGGCTGGAGGGCAACGAGTGAACACACAAATGCATCCATGCATGCATCTTCACGAGCTCCACGGCCACCTAACGCTTCTCTGGGCTGTCTGTGTGTGTGTATGTCATGGTCCATTTCAGGAAGCTTGAGCAGCTGCTGGGCCAATTCCGCGAGGCGGTTTCCAAACTCTGACATAGCAATGTTACTGACTGACTGAGTGCGTCCTTCCTTCCTTCCTTCCTTCCTGACTGACTGAATGCGTGTGTGCATGTGTACGTGGGGTGTCGCCTCTGTCGTCGTGCAGAGGAACGTCATCGCATGGATGGATGGATGCATGGAGTACCTAGCTGCTTGCATGGATGTTTCCGTGGCGACTCACTCACTCACTCTGCTGCGTATCACGTGACCGTGCAGACATGTGTACCGACCTGCCTACCTCCTTGTGTACGGCTGCCTGCCTGCCTGCCTGCCCATCGATTCGATAGATAATATATTTGTTCAATTGAATCGGTCTCGTTGTCCCGTCAGCGCCATACATACACCATCGTGCGAACGCACACCCGCACGCATCCAAGCTTAGGTCTCTGCCTGCGGCAAAGGCCCACAAGTACACCCCCCCACGCCAGCCACACATGTATGTATGTATGTATGTATGTACCTATGGGATAAGTCCTGAAACCCACCGTTGTACGTACAAGGTGGGGGCTGGGCTGTGCACACAGACTGTATGTATGTGTGTATGTATACAGTGACGAGTGCACTGACTGACACTACACAGATGTGCGCTTCAACAGCGCCTGAGAGCACCTCACAGCAAGCAGAGCCGCGGCGGCGAGTGCGCAGGCCACGAGTCCACTTGCACATGAGGTCACGATGGTGTTTTGCCGATCCCGCCGCCGAATCACATCCGAATACCGCGTACGGGTGAACGCCACCTGCACACAATACACACAGACAATTGGACGAATGCCCAGAGGTATCCCGTGACGTGACTGACTGACTCGCCCACCAACCGACCATAGTGTACTGTGGGATCCACTCGTGAGGGAAGAGGTAGTTGATGAGACTGTCGATTCTCTTCTTCATCAGAAACAACGGATCCGACACCTATCAATCAGTTGATCAATCGACACACATGGGCAACGAGCGTATGCAGGCATCTCCCTCCCTCCCTGCCGCCACCCCACCCCACCCCACCCCACCTTCCTGCCTGCCTCCCTCCCTCCCTTCTCACCTTCGATCGCATTTCGATGTAGTTTTCCAGCGACAGCTGACACAACGCATCGGCATCTACACGGAGGTACATGCAGGGACGCCACGCAATCAATGCATTGTTCATCCATGCATACACGCATGCTCACCCGTCCGGTGAGCCCTAATTCATCAAATGGACACCCACCTGGTTTTCGGTGCTGGTAGAATAGTTGCGCTGCGGCCGTGAGGAGATCTTTGCTGGCCGCCGTTTGCTGGCACTGTTGTAGGAGTTGGTCGAAGAGTAGACAGTCTTCGAATCCACAGTTCATGCCCTGGCCGTAGAAGGGGACTACTGCGTGTGCGGCGTCACCAACCACGCAGTACTTCCCCGTGGTCCAGGGCGACACGTGCAGGTACGACAGACGACTGGTGGGGTTCGATCGGAACTGATGATCCAACTCAGACTCGCCTGGTGCCCACACACAGACAAACGAACGGAGAGAAAGGTGGGTGCGGCATCACCAAGACCGATGCAGGACACGACACGAGTCTGTCTGTATGGGTGTGAGTGAGGGAGTGTGTGTGTGTGTGTGAGTGCTGCTGTTTGTCGGTCCTTCTACCAATGAGGTCGAGTACATCAGGGAAATGCTGCTTGAAGAATTTGCTGGCTTGGTCAGGTGTGGTGAGGGTCTCGAAGATGCCCATCGGCATGAAGAGCGTGCAGGTGAACGACCCTGACATACACACAAAGCATTGACACATGAAAACAGCTGTAGGGGTCTGTGTGCGGTGTGGTGGTGCCTGTCTGCCTGCCTGCCTACCGTCAGGGTTAGGGAGAGCAATGAGCATGAACTCCTTCCTGGGCCATATGTGGAGATGGTTGGGGGGCATCGCATAAGGCCGGTGCGGACTGTCACTGCCGCTCGTCGACTCGATCGTCAGCTCCTTGTAACCGTGGTCGATATAGTCCTCCCTGATGTATCCATCCATCCATCCATCCATCCACCGCCCTCTGCCTCCCTCCCTTTGTGTGGTTCGCTTGCTCGATGCAGTCAGTCAGTCACTTCGGCGGGTGGGTACGTACCTGAAGCTGTGCGAGTCGGAGCATTGCTGCAGCATCTGGTGCCTGGAGGCCGAGTGGATGCCGTCGCAGCCGAAGACGAAGTCGCCTTGTTCAGCCCTCTCCTCGTCCCCATCGGCTGCTGTGAGAGTGACGGTGCCCCTCTCACAGTTGAGCTTGGACAGCTTCACGCCGAAGTGCAGACTCACGTTGGCACTGGCCGACGCAGCGTTGAGCAACAACTCATTGATACGCCTGAATGAATGAGCCAACGGACGGACCACACAAATATACATAGGTACATAGATGCATCCATATATGACCAAACAGGGCCGCCAGTGTCTTGCCGTGCCATGGCCGTGAATGCGGTACATGCCATGCCTACATGGGGACTTACCTGCGTCCCACTGAGTAGATGCACTCGCCCCTTTCGCCATAGGGCACCTCATAGCTCGACCCTCGCACAGGGTGAACCATGCGAGAGTACATCTGACACACACACGCACACACAGACAGAAATGGCCAGCAGCAGAGAGCGAGTCGAGAGATATATCTCACTGCTGACCGACCGGTATGGCATCTTGGAGAACAGCGTCTTCCAGCTGCACCGCCCTCAGGGCACTCCTGCCCCTCTCCGATAAGGCGAAGTTGATGCTCCGACTGCACAGCAGAGAGAAGACACATACATACATACAGGCAGGCCGACAGACCATGGTTGCCAGCCGTTCGTGCATGGGGCGTTGGTGGCACCTTGTTTGCTTACCCGGCTGATCGATTGGCGTCTTGCCTGAGATCAGGCCTCGCCTCGAAGACATCCACCTGGACGCCGCGGCGGGCAAGGAAGACGCTTTGCAGACATCCTACCGGACCGGCACCTATCACCAGCACGCGACCTGCAGCCTCGTCTCTCCCACTCGTCATTTTCGTCGAATCGACCTGAGTCACGAGCTCGCACAAGCCTGGCTGTGCGGCCCGGGAGGGAAACGCCTGGCCAGGTTCCATCGCCACTAAGTGTCAATCTCGGTTGTTCAACGCGATGCAACGCCGCATGTGAAACGCCTTTGTACGCTGTAGCCGGCACAGTGCGTACACATAAGGTGGCGCCTTCGTGGACTTGCGTTCTCCTCCTTTCTTCTTCCGCCCTGTGAACAAAGTTCTCTTCGAAGGCGTTGGTCCTCAATCCCTCTCTCAGCCGCTCGTGTGGCGTGCCACGATGCACCCCCTCCGACCCCTCGCCGCCCTCTTGCTGGGCTTCGCCAGCCTGACCTGGGCGCAAGACACCACTGGCACGGGCGGCGAGAAAGATCCCCCACCAGTGAACCCCACAGATGACCGCGACCCCTTGTGCAAGGGTCAGCCAGCGCTGAGAGAGACGTGTCTCAACATGGTGATACTGCTTCCCTCACGGTGCGTGTGTGTGTCGTTTCTCAGGTGTGACGCCCAAGCTTGACGTGCTGCAGATTGTGAAGCTGCTGGGTATGCCTGAGCCGATGCCGCCAAATGGGTCTCCCCCTGGCGCAAAAGGGCCTCCTCCCCCTGGTACCTCCCCCAACGGACCTCCCGACAATGGCAAGCCCCCCGACAATGGCAAGCCCCCTAATGGCGACGACGGCAAGCCCCCTAATGGCGACGACAACGGCGACAAGCCCCCTAATGGCGACGACAACGGCGACAAGCCCCCTAATGGCGACGACAACGGCGACAAGCCCCCTAATGGCGACGACAACGGCGACAAGCCCCCTAATGGCGACGACGGCAAGCCCCCCGGTGATAAGACTGACGACGGCGACGATGACAAGCCTGGAAAGGGCTTCCCCCTTGGCGGGTCGCGTCGGCGCCTCACGGATGGCATCACCGCCAGCAAACCTACCTTCGACAAAATCTGTGTTGACTTCAGGTATGGATGGGTGGGTGGCATAGGCAGACAGGCAGACAGACAGACGGCTGTTTGATTGTGGGTGTGCCGTCCTTCCGTCGGCCGATGGATCGATATATCAGCGAGCACAAGGGCCTCAAGGACGGCGACAAGGTCAAGATTGACGAGAAGACCGGTGTCCTCTTTACTGTTGCTGCCTGCCCGCTGGCAAGTCACCTCATGCGGGGGGGCACAAAGGCATTCTTGCCGTGATACACGACGATGTGTGTGATCCTGCCTGCCTGCCTGCAGGTGTGTGTGGAGGGGGTTGCCTTCCTCGTCTTCGACCCCGACCGTAAGTGTAGCGAGTTCATCACACCACAACGCATCCACTGGCGGCGTGTCTCTCCTTCCCTACCTGCCTGCCTGCAGACCGGTTGATTGTCTACGACACCTTCCGTGACCCCGTGAGTGATGCGACACAGACAGCACCTGACCTACCAACACATGCACACGCACACTCACCCGTCTCTTTGCATCCGTCCATCATGTGTATCAGGACTACTTTGACTTCCACAGTATCTTCTCGGCCTTCGGCAACAGGGCCGTGGGGTCTGCTGAGGACATCTTTTTCGGCGCTGCTCGACGGGCGATCAAGAAGATTGGCGTGTACACTTTCGTGGTCATCCCCTTCAACGGGGCTGAAATCGGGAAGGAGATCACCATTGAAGGTGAGCAGCGAGTCTCGCATCACGTACATGAGAGACAGGGGAGGGGGGAAGGCAGGGAGGCGGCTGACAGAGGGCAGGGCAGCCAGCCAGTTGCCCCCATTCAACGTCTGCGCATCTGCCTGAATCTGTGCATTGGCTGTTTTCTGTCTGTCCCTCAGTCGAAGTGACCAGCACCACCGGCCTTCCTCCTGGGGAGGTGCCTGGTGAGCCCGGTATGCCCGATGAGCCCGACAACGGCACGCCCGATAAGCCCGACGACAAGCCGCCACCTGTAGGATCTCCCCCTGGCGGCAAAGGGCCACCTGTAGGATCTCCCCCTGGCGGCAAAGGGCCACCTGTCGACGGCAAGCCCCCTGTCGACGACGGCAAGGAGCCCGACGACCCCGACAAGCCCGACAAGCCCGACGACCCCGACAAGCCCGACAATGGCAAGCCCCCCGTCAATGGCTCTCCGAAGGGCTTCAAAGGGCCTTCACCCCCAGACATGAAGGCTGCTGCCCTTGGTTGGGGTGACGAAAAGACCGATGACGCGGCCGAGGTGAGACAGCTGCTCGAGGAACTGGGCGAGACGTTCCTCGCACAGCGCAAGTAGCCCATCCAGTGATACATACATACATACATGCATACACACGTGCGCTGGTCTTTGAGGAGGGAAGGGGGGCGCTGGTTGGCTGGCCTTTTGTAATGTCACACCTACTTACTGCTACCTGACTTGTACATACTCGAAGAAGGTTCTTTTCCGTTGGTTGCAATGCATGTCAGTCAGTCAGTCAGTCAGCTAGGTCCGCTTGGTGTTCCACCCCTGGAGACTTCCCCCGCTTTATTTTTCGTCGTATGATGCAGACATACGGCACGGCACGGAGACAGATAGGTCATCAATTATGGGTTGTGTTTGTTTTGTTTTTCTCGGGCGTTTGGATGTCTGTCTCGTATGCTGATTGCGCGTCTACCGCACCCACACGCGCTGGCGGCCAGGTGGTGTTGGTCTGTCGGATCAATTAATGAGTGAAGTGGGAGGAACAGAGTATGGCTAGTCAGTGGATGATGGTATGCGTGGATGGATGTGCTAGCTAGCTGGCTGGGGCACCCCCCCCCACCCACCCCCCGTCACGTCACATGGTTTTCCCCGCCTCATGTGCTGTCTGGGTTTTGAATTCATCCTATGAGGGGGTGCATGTAACCGTCACCCATGGCCATGTGGGTGTGGTGTGGTGTTGCGTACCATTGAGTGAATGCCTTGCTGTGTCTGTCTCTGGCTCTCTCAAAAAGGAGACCAGTGCAACTGCGGGCATGTGTAAGTTTGTTGCCTCGTGGCGATACGTTGGTACGTGACGTGCACTAGATGGGTGCTGAGTGAGTGGGTGGGTGCGGTGGTTGACGTAGGTCATCAATTCAGCTAGTAGGTGGGTACTGCTAGCGTAGTTTGCCTGTCGGCCTCTCTATTTTGTTCGCTCGTATGGCGGGCGAGTGTTGACGACCGACGTCTGTCTGTCTGGCTATGATTTTGCTTGCTTTCTTGCGAGACATCGAGCGACACATTTGATGGAATACTTGCAACCCTCTTACACGTCAACTATCGTTGAGCGCCAAAACCCTCATGAAGGTATTGACACCAAAAGTGCATCATATCATGTGTGTCCAGACAGTCCAATGATATGGTAATAGCCAAAGCAGAGGATGAAACGCACGCAACAGAGCATCAGATGAGGTCAGACAATTCGCTCCAGCTCCGTCGCGTATGCTGCAGCCATCCATACGTCCACACCACCAGCCATGATGAATCGTTGATAGGGTGTTGTGTTATGTGTGGGCATCTACCTATGGTGTGGTGGAGCAGCTCTGTGGAACTGATCTCGGGCTTCTGAGTCATCACCTGACCACACACACACACACACACACACAGACACGCACCCGGCATCCCTATGAAAACGGCCAGGGAGATCGATCGGCTGGCTGTGTTGCGATTCCGCACTCCCTGCCGCCCTCTAGTTCCCCAAACGTGCAGACATACATCCATCGCACCTGCTGGAACTCCAGCCGCTCCTTGACCTCCCACCGAATCTCGAACGCACCTTGTTCCTGCTTCCTCTGATTCTCAGACTCAGCGAAGCGCTTTAGATCCTAAACACACACACATACACGCACGGGCATGTGATCAGTGTCAGTCAGTGGTTCCCTCCCTCCCTCCCTCCCTGGCAGGCAGGCAGGCAGGCAGGCAGGCAGACAAGGTGGCTGGCTGGGTGTGTGACCTCTTCGGTGTCAAGCATGAGCGCTCGGAGGGCAAAGGCGATGTCCACGGACGGATACGACTTCTCCAGACACGCCGCCACCTTATGACGCACTGTCGACACCAAACGGTCCATGAAGAAACTGACATACACACACACAGACGCACACACGTACATTGTCCGTGTGTGTGGTTGGTGGGTGCTGCAGCGCGTGGCCGGCTGTCTGGCTACCTGTTTACCTGTATTGTGGTAGTGGGACGTTAGTTTTGGCATTGATGACTTTGTTGTAGTTGCCGTCCATGAGGTGCTGCTCGAGCGCCACGGGGAACTTGAGATTGACGTTCGAACGCAACTCAGACGGGATCAACTCCAACTCAGTGTGGAACTCACCTGCATGTTGACACCCACACACACAGACAGGTGGCACAAACCACATGACGTGCCGGTCCGTTTGCAGCTGCACAAATGTATGCTTAGTTGTGTGTGTGTGTACCAATCCTGTTGCTTGAGAGTAGGTGCAGGAGGTACATGCCGAGGATGATGAGTTGCCTCTGGCTGGGCGGTAGCTCCTTGCTGTAGTCGTAGTAATACATCTTCAGCTGCACCACGTACCTAAACACACATACATTCTCACCATGGTATGGTAATGAATGGGATCTGTGGCTCCCTCGTCTGTCTGTCTGTCTGTCTGTCTGTCTGTGGTGTGTTTGCACCCACCGTTCGAATGACTGCACGTCCTCGTTGCGAACGCTGAGGAAGGCACCATACTCGAGCGTCTCACGAGCTATTAGCAGCTCCTTCTGAGATACCTGACAGATTGATGCATGACACATACACAGGAGGCCGGGCAATGGACTCCCCTCCCTCCCTGCCTCCCTGCGTGGTGTGTGCATTGCATTGCCGCATCTCATCTCTGCATCTCATCTGCCCTGCCCTGCCCATCTATCAATCAATCACTGTGTGTACCTCTGACGGGGGTGGGAGTGCGACGGAGGGGAATTGGGCGATCAGGACCTTCATCTCGTTGAGGAGCGCCTTGCACTTGTTGATGTCACACGCGCCGTTGTACTCCTCGCGCAACATATTGAACTTCTGCACACAGGACAGGCAGACAGCGACACGGCACAAACATAAACCGCATACGAAACGCTCTTTGCTATTCACCTGCACTGCGTCGGCTGTCGCCATCAGAGCAAGAGCGGCTTCTTCCTTCCTCTTTTTTGAGCTCGCGCTTCCCGCAGACCGGAGGTGCTTCCCATTGGTTTTGCTTTCAGAGTGAGCCACGGTGTTTGTCACAGCATTCATTCATTGCTTCATCTCTCTCTATGTTGGTGCCATCCGTCAGCCTGTTGCTGGTACGCCGGAGTGTGCGCACACAGACCAGAGAGAGATCCACGATAATGAATGAATGAGAGCCCTGGCGAGGGCATACCCACATCACGACGCTTCCCCGTTGTGTGTCTATGTGTTTTCAGATGAGCCCGTGTGCAGCCGCCCATTTCGTTCGGACGGCATGGACAGCGGTGCCGCGGAGACCTCTGGACGCGCCGCCGATGCTCACGCGCACCCGGATGCCACAAAGGAGACGGACACATCTGCATCTTTTGCCTGATGATCCTGACGCGGCAACGAGCCGCATCCCTGATGTGGCCGAAAATGCGGCTGCCCCGGGCGTGCGGCGTGACGTTTCCCTCCCGTCCTGCATTCGGGCGATGCTGGTGCGGCTGCCCAACACTCTGACGGTGTTGAGGGTGCTGGTGGTGCCCGTGGTGGGCATCCTGCTGTTATCCAATATGGCTGCCAACAAGATCCGGCTGTGGACGTGTGTGTGTTTCGGCTTCGCATGCCTTACCGACTGGTTCGACGGATGGCTCGCTCGCGCACTGGGTACACGCACACACACAGAGAGAGAGAAGTGAATGGCCTGAATGGAATGGTGACGCTCGTGTCTGTCTGTCTGTCTGTCTGTCCCTGTCTGTCTGTCTGTGTCTGACGCGGCACGTATGCGTGGTATGCCCCAGGCGTGTCGTCTGCATTTGGTGCCTTTCTTGACCCTGTGGCCGACAAGTTGCTGGTGGCGACGGTGCTGATCGGCCTGGTGAGCCGAGTGGGGTGTGCCCTGCCCTACCACGGGGCATCGCTGGCCATTCCGTCGATAGCCATAGTGTGTCGCGAGATAGGTGTGTCGGCGTTGAGGGAGTGGATGGCCTTGCGGGGGCAGGCCGAGTCGGTGCAGGTCAACTGGACGGGCAAACTCAAGACGGCAGCCCAGATGGTGGCCGGCCTCCTGCTGCTGGCCTCCTGGAGGGATGGCACCACTGAGGGGGTAGTAGGGTCCATGATGCAGGGCGGGAGCTTGGCCGTGTGTCTGACGTGGCGAGTAGGGGTGGGTTGTCTGTGGGTCGCTGCGCTGCTCTCGCTCCTCTCAGCCTGTACATACTTTCAAAACATTACGGAGACGATGCGCTGAAGTCGATTCCGGCCAGCCCGGGTCGCCCCCGGAAGGTTTCACAGTTCGATTCCTATCCCGGGGGGCAGTTCTCCTTCCGCTCCTTCCTGGCGTCAGGAACGTCGGTCGTCAGTGTTGTCATCGCTTTGAAAACGAAGCAGGCAGGCAGTGCTTGACTGGCTCCTTGCCCTCCCCCCTCCCACACCACAATGCCCAGGTCGGGTGAGCAGCTCCTCACCGTCCTCTCCAATGTTCGCACCTCACCCAAATGGTCCTTCAAAGGTACAGGAGAACTTCCCACACGAGGCAGGTGTGTATGGGGCTTTGCATTGCCGGTCTTTTGTGGCCAGGTCGGAGCGAGGGCCGTGTTTCTGCTGGGGCTCCGGTAAGTAGTAAGCAGGACGAATGGGGGAGGGACTTGAGAGATGACTTGCTGTCTTTTTTTGTCTGTCCGTCTCTCACGCACTGTACAGGGCCCCGGAGCCTACCAGGTAGGACTCGTCTCCACTCACCATCCGATGGATGGATGCATTGATGAGTGCAGTGCATGCCCCCTCTGATGTGATCCTTTGTGTCAGCCCGGGCTCGACGGCCGCTGCTCATCGCCACCAAAATATGGGTATGCACATACGCAGCGTAGCAATCTGCCCACACCTGACTGACTGGTTGGTTGGTTGGTTGATGCGCTTGCGCTGTGCACTGACTGCAGATTCGGCAGTAGCCAGCGTGACGCCATGAAGTCCTCGGGCTACCCTGGGCCAGGTGCGCCTCACTCCCTGTCGACAAAATCCCTCATGAATGCTGGTGGGTGTGGCTCTGCGTGTGGTGTGTGTAGGGACTTACAACCTGCAGGATGCCGCACCCGGGCCGCACTACTCGCTTCGCGGCCGACATCAGTTCGGCGACCGCAACTTCACACCGGGGTGGGTGGGGGTGGGAGAGACAGCCAGCCAGCAGACGCACAGTCGCTGTGACGGAGGAAAGGAGGAGGGCTCACCTACCATACCTGTCTGTCTGTGTATGTGAATGCGGTTATGCTATAGCCCCGGGACTTATCAGCCCGGGTACATGGGACACGCGCCACCTCAATTCGGGTATGCAGCCACACCGACAAGCGAGACACAGAACAGAGAGAGCCGCTCAGCACCGCAACGTTGTGTGATTTATGTTAAACATGTGCGTGTCTCTGATGCTTTGGTGTGGCGTGGCGTGGCGTGGCGTGCAGGTTTGGTTCTGGTGCTCAGCGTGGCGGTCTTTCGGCTCCACAGACACCTGGCCCAGGTGAGGGAAGGCAAGCCGCTGCCGCCTTGACACACAGCTCACGAGTAGATGGATGCATGCGTCCATCCGTCCATTCCATGTGTGTTGGGCAAACAGGTACATACTCGGTCAATCCTCAGGACGGCGCTCCGAAATGGGGGTGAGCCAATATTGCTCAGGATGCTCGGCTGCTGTCCGTCGCTCGCTCGCACATGTGCGTACGTTCATTGTTTGTGCAGCATGGGTAGCGGTGCTCGTGGCTGGATAAACCGATCCACAACGCCGGGGCCGGGCACTTACAACCTCGGGGGCACCAACGAGGGCCCCAAGTGGTCTGTGAAAGGCAGATATGATCCCCGGACGGACAACTTCGTACCCGGCCCAGGTAAGGTCACTGACTCGACAGACAGACAAGTCACCAAGGAATGCATGCACGGGTGCCCTGCTCTGCCTGTATGCTGTATCATCCATCCATCGTGCAGGCACATACAATCGTCCGTCGACCGTCGGGGACGGCCCCAAATACGGGTGGGTGG